TTCAGGTGGTGGACTGGCATGAAGAGAAGCTAATCAAGCATACTCGTATAGATATATAGACAGATGGGTTAGTCGATTATATTAGCATACTACTTGCTGGATATAATTAATAGGCACAAGCTATTTCGGTGTCTAATTTCTCTTTTCCTTTTAGTTGTCGAGTTCTTTTGGTATTGTAAGAGGATTAGATCGATTACACGTATGAGCGATGAAGTTACTATGTACTGGATATATAATAGGCAAAAGTTATGAGATTGTTTACAGTACATCTAATTAATATGAGCTGTCCATTCTTGATCATTCAATGGACTAGATCCATCAATACTACTGAACAAGAGTAGTATTTTCTGTCCAAAGATAAAATCGGAAGATAAACAAAACAAAAATACTAAAACTCTACACGCAAAATCAAAACCGCGTGTTTTCTTCTCGATGCAGTCCATCCGTTCCGGGACTGTTGGCGGAAGCCCGATTCAATTATTTTTCAATAGATCTAATCGCTTTGGAGCTTTTCATTTATTTCTCGCCTACACACAGTTTTGGTGTTACAAGACTTTGCTAGTTGCTGGCGTGTTTTTGGATGTGTGTGAGTTGGAGTTCGATATGTGCAACCTAGCCATGCAAAGACCAGGTGTGTGCTCTTTGTTTTATGTATCTTCTTAATTCTCCATTCTAAGCCAACATAATCCACTTTTTTGGCGGAAAAAAGGAGACGACGGTACCTTGCCTGGAAGACATCACGTACAAAGCTATCGAAGCTAGCCTCCCTAACTAGATCAATCATGTCCAGATGCATTAGTACGATACATATGATGAGCATCCTTTTCTAAAACACAAGTCGGCGGCGGCACACAATCAACATATGCATACAATGCAATCGAATCTCGCTAGAACACAGGATGGGCGAACAATGGTGGCAGCACATAGGGAATACATGGCGGACTGTCATACAGTATAGACGGATGCCGCCGTTGGCAGGCGCCGGCAACGATGTGCCTCCAAGAGGGGTTCTATAAATTACAAACCAAACATTGACAAGATTACCCATGTAATCAACGGCTGAGATTACCCATGTAATACTAGTGGGTAGAAGGAGTAGGATGTACCGTAAATAGTCTCAAAAGTTATTTCTATGTTCAATTCTCTTTCTGTGTTAGTTGTGGAGTTTCTCAATACGTGCATGATACTTATACGTAGTTGGGAAAAGTATATGTTTTTTCTCCCTCAACTTTATGGATAGTTTAGAAATATCCTTCAACTTCTAAACCAGACAAACTTAATCCTTCAACGGTTAAAAACAGATACTTTTCGTCCCTCAGACCACTTCGGGTGGATTTGTACTGATGTGGACCTGGTATTTTCTTTCTCACTTGCACCACCACATGGCCACAGGTCAGTATGGCACCATCGTGTCCATGCTGGCACCGAGGCTCACTTTCTTCCCGTAGCATCATGGCCGTCTGCTCGGCTATGTTCTGACTGGTCAGCTCCGACGCCATCATGGCCATCATGAATTTGAAAAAGTTCATAAATTGGAGGCAAAAATTTCATGTTATTTCAACATGTTCACGGCTCTGAAAAAAGTTTGAGGATTTGAAATTGCTCGGCCATACAAAAAATTGATGTCTTACATTGAAAACAATAAAAAAGAGAATGAAAACGTGAAACGAAACAAAACCAATAGAAAACCAGCGAGAAAAACAAAGTAAAAACTGAGATAATACCGGCCTAGAAATTAACCCCTTCAAGAAATCCTGTATGAAGGGCCGAAAGGGCCGTGTTTCTCAAGGAGAATCGCCGCTTTTGTATCGAATCGGATAGAATTCCTGGAAGGGGAAAAAGAAAGTAAACTTTGTCCGCGTCGCTCTCCATATCGGCCAAGCGAGGAGAAGGAGAGACCTACAAGGAAGGAAGAGGAACGCTCACTAAAATCTGCGAAATTTCCATAGATTGAAACACGATCGATAGTATAGGTGGTGAGGAGCGGCCGGCGGTGGTGACCAAATCCTTACTAGTTGCTTGCAGGCCGGGGAATATCCATGTCGGCGGCGCTTCGATCCGCGGCGAGGAGGCTCGGCCGTGGCTCCCTGCTCCAGCGAACGCAGTCGGAGGGGCTCTTCTCGCCTAGCAGAAGCAGGCTCGTCCACACCAGTGAGGTATCTCAACCAAAGCTGACATATTTAACCTCATGATTTTCCTCACGTCATCAAGGATCACGTCATAGGGCGATAATCCAATTCTGCGTAATGGAAACAGCAACTTGCATGTGTTAAGATGACTTTTCTCCTCCTTTCAATTTGGATGGAGACAAGTTTGAATGTTTGATAGAGCAAGATTACCTAGCATCATATTACACAGGTCGCAAAATTACCATGCATGTATGTTGCATTTTGTATATATCAAGCCCTTACTTAATTGACATACAAGACAATATTCTTCTTAAATTATTTACCGATCACAATCAGCAATTACTTAACGCTCCATGATACAAAGTACATTGATCATCATCTACGTGTGTCAATCCAGCATGCTCCTACAGACCTTACGCGTGAGATCCAGCAGAAGAGAGATGAGGTACGAAACTTGGTATCTAAGGCGGTGCAGAAGAAAAGGGAGTTGTATGCGTTGGGTAAGGCAGACAAGAATTGTGAGACTCTTGGTGAGCATCACATGCTTCCACTAGCACTCCCATATCTTTCTCGGCAAAAAGTCGTTCCAAAACCACATGGCACTCTCAGGTACGTAAAAATTATCAGAGATTCAAACAAGATGCATGCAGATACAAAATCACTTTGTCTATTCTTCCTTAATTTCCTGTTTGTTTGAAAGGAATTGGTAATTTTCTCTTTTGACCCGTAGGACCTTGATGCGGTTCGCTACAAGGGCTAACGCTTTGCTGGATGCAGCTGCCCACGCGACAATCTTCAATTTGGTTACTACTGCTTGGGTTAGAGCTAGGGGCGGCATCGGGGTAAAAGCCCAAACTGTTGATGAGGAAAACCAGGGAAGACAAGATTGAAAATTGAGAACCAAAGATGGCTCCGCCGCCAGCTTGTTTTCAGTTAAATTATGATGACTTGCAGTTTGGCTAGCTAGCACTATGATATGGTTGTGATATTGTGTGACATGATTATATTATCGTATCTCTATCTATCCTAGTAGATTGCTTGTATGAATGAAAGCCGTAGGATATTTTTGCTGTGCTATTTCACAATACCCTAGAATCATATCTGCTAGTGACAAATGCGTCCCAAGGCCTCTCCCCCTGCCGGGCCATTTTTTCGAACTTCTTTTTTTTCGAACTTTTTTTTTTTGAATTTTTGAACAAAATTTTGAATTCTCAAGAACAAGAAGAGAGCAAAAAAGAATTACAAAGAAATAGAAAAAATGAAGTAAAGACACATTTTTTGAAACTCCCTAATTTTTGTAAGTGCAAACTTTTTTATAAATTTGTGAAGAATTTTCAAGAAACGCGAATATGTTTTGAAATAAAAACAAAAAAGGAAAAAGGAAAGAAAAAGAAACAGAAAAAGGAGAGAAAAGAAAAAAAGAAATAGCGATAGGAAAAAAAACCCGGTTCAGGAACCTCCTAGAAAGTTTCCAAAATCGAAAAAAACCAGTTCAGGAACCTCCTGGAAGGTTCCCAACACCAGGATGGCAGAAGCGGTGGGCGGGCCGGCCCATATCATCCCTCGCTCGTGAACCTCTATGCGAAAGCTCAAGAACTTGGCGCAACATGCGTCACATAGGGTTTTTCGAGCATACACTCCAAGAAAATTAACTCTAGAAGATTTTCAAAAAACAAGGGGAAAAGCTTGGTCAACCGACAGATCTTTTCTTTCACGTCCGCCACGTTCTAAGCTTGACACGCATCTTGATGGGCCAACGCACCGCTTCTCTCCTTCATCCCTATCTCCACCGGAATGGCCACGCATATTTATCTCTCCTATCCATGCCTTGAATCAAACCTTCACCCGCAACCTCTTTCTGGATCTCATTTGACCATGCAGAGCGCTCCGTACTCCAGTTCTTGCAACTGGGCACTTATTCCAAAAAGGCATACTGCAACGTATTCTCAGGTTGACCCTCCCATCCCCTACCTCTATCTCTCCACCCGTGCCTCTTTCCGTGGATCTCATCCCCGCCTCCTCTTAAACAAGCACGTTGTTGCATCCCCACCACATCGACGGTGGTCACTGGCGTCCTTCCTCGGTCGTAAAAACGCAGGTGCTGCAGAGACCACGGGGTGCTCTCTCCGTTGCAGCGGTCGGTGTTCTTGCATGTTTTGGCAACACACAGTCTTGTTGCAGGAATACATAGAAGAGGTTGGAGATGTTGAGTTCTATTGCAATGGAGGTTTGGCAACAAGGGTCTTGTTACGGAAAAATAGAGAAAAAGAAGTCTTGCAGGTCTTGTTGCAGAAAAATAGAGAAGAATTCTTTTTGCAACAGGGGTCTTGTTGCATAAATTAGAGAAGAGAAGATTTTGCAACAGATGTCTTGTTGCAGATAATTAGAGAAGATTGTTTGTAACATGGCTCTTGTGGCAGGAAGTTAGAAAAGAAGAGATTTTGCAACAAGCGCATTGTTGCAGAAAGTTGAAGAAGAAGAAAGGATGACTCACCTCGTACAATCAGACGGCTTGTGAGGCGGCGGATCTTTTAGAAGGATCCGTCGGCCGACGCGAAGCACGACCCAAAAATAAGTTAGGGTAGACTATTATTTGGGCCGGCCCTTTTTAGAAAGGGTAGCGAAAGGGCCCAACCTACCGGCCGTGCTTCTCCTCTTTTGTATCGAAATCGGATAGGATTCCTGGAAGGGGATCCGCGTCGTTCTAGATCTCGGTGAAGCGAGGAGAAGGAGACCAATAAGAATCCTATAAGAATCGAGGTACGCTCACCAAAATCTACGAAATTTCAAGATCGATCGTATCGCTTGCGAGGAGCGGCCGGCGGTGGTGACCAAATCCCTAAGTAATTGCTTGCAGGCCGGCGAAGATCCATGGCGGCGGCGCTTCGATCCGCGGCGAGGAGGCTCTGGCTCGGCCGTGGCTCCCTGCTCCAGCGAACGCAGGCGGAGGGGCTCTTCTCGCCAAGCAGAAGCAGGCTCGTCCACACCAGTGAGGTATCTCAACCAAAACTGACATCTTTCTATTTGGATGGGGACAAGTTTGAATGTTTGATAGAGCAAGATTACCTAGCATCATTTTATCTCCGTCCCAAAATTCTAATCTTACATTTATCTATAAATACGGATGTATCCAACACTAAAATGTGACTAGATAGATACATCCGTATTCAGACAAGTCAAAGACAAAAAATTTGAGACAGAGGGAGTACTTATTTAACCTTGAACCGATTTAGAGTAATCTGGTCCTTATTTAATTAGCAACCAAACTGAACCTATATTATATATTGGCTCCATCTATTCTATATACAGTAAGTATGGTTTTGTTATTAGATGTTACACATGCATGTATGTTGCATTTTGTATATATCAAGCCCTTACTTAATTGACATACAAGACAATATTCTTCTTAAATTATTTATTTACCCATCACAACAGCGATTACTTAATGCTACATGATACAAAGTACATTGATCATTATCTACGTGTGTCAATCCAGCATGCTCCTACAGACCTTACGCGTGAGATCCAGCAGAAGAGAGATGAGGTACGAAACTTGGTATCTAAGGCGGTGCAGAAGAAAAGGGAGTTGTATGCGTTGGGTAAGGCAGACAAGAATTGTGAGACTCTTGGTGAGCATCACATGCTTCCACTAGCACTCCCATATCTTTCTCGGCAAAAAGTCGTTCCAAAACCACATGGCACTCTCAGGTACGTAAAAATTATCAGAGATTCAAACAAGATGCATGCAGATACAAAATCACTTTGTCTATTCTTCCTTAATTTCCTGTTTGTTTGAAAGGAATTGGTATTTTTCTCTTTTGACCTGTAGGACCTTGATGCGGTTCGCTACAAGGGCTAACGCTTTGCTGGATGCAGCTGCCCACGCGACAATCTTCATTTTGGTTACTACTGCTTGGGTTAGAGCTAGGGGCGGCATTGGGGTAAAAGCCCAAACTGTTGATGAGGAAAATCAGGGAAGACAAGATTGAAAATTGAGAACCAAAGATGGCTCCGCCAGCTTGTTTTCAGTTAAGTTATGATGACTTACAGTTTGGCTAGCTAGCTAGCACTATGACATTGTTGTGATATTGTGTGACATGATATGTTATCGTATCTCTATCTATCCGAGTAGATTGCATGTATGAATGAAAGGCGTACGATATTTTTGTTGTGCTGTTTCACAATACTCCAGAATCATATCTGCTAGTGACAAATGCGTCCCAAGGCCTCCCCCTGTCGGCCATTGAGTTGTACTAGTAGATAGCAATGAGCAGCTAGTGCTGAGAAACAACAACCCAACCTAGACAAACACGCAACCCTGTAAACACAAGTAAAATTCACATGGGTCTGGCCAGATAAAGACATAAAATTAAGGACTCCGTTACAGGGCCGTACCCGAGAAAATGGAGGCCCGGTGCGAAATCAAAAATTAGGCCCTCGACATAACAAATGGCAATCAATAAAATAAAGCTTGTTTGTCTCAAAAAAAAACTTGTATTTGCACTCTGATTTTCACAAGAAACTTTGATCCTTTTGGTAAAAACTTATCAAGAGCACATTTTCAAGGTCGAATTTTATTTTTTTTCTTCTTATGTTTTTCATAAATTGACTCAAGATTCGTAATTATAGAACTAGAATACTTTCAGAAATAAAAAAATAGGATGCAAGTATCATGCATTAAAACTTAATATAGAAACGAAAATTGATGAAACAACCTTTGATTTATTTGGAAGGAACACCATTTGGCGGCAACATGGCTAGGGTCTTCCGGTTCCTCGTCTTGGTTAATCGGCAACCTAGCGATTGTGGCATACCTCCAACTCCGATCAATGCACCCAGGTCGCAGGACCAGCAGGAAGCAACAATGGGACTAAAAGAAGCAGCGAAGATGTGTGAGAAGATGAGAGAAATGAGAAACCGGATAAATAGATGGACAGAGGGTAGAACAATACCAATTCATTGAATAAGGAGATTAGTTTTGGGGCAAATGCGAAGGAATTGATCCACTGGAATGGAATAGAATCGAGACCTTTGGTGGTGTGATTGGACCATGAGGAGAGAAAGGGATTTGAGCTTGAAGTGAAAGAGAACGGAGAGAGAAGAGAGGAGACGTGCGTGAGATTGGGCCTCCGCCTTGGAGTTATTTCGTTCCAGGTTCCAACGTGTATTTGCTTTTTTTTAAGCATCAGTACAGACATAAGCGCTCATATACACGCGCATACACTCATCCCTATGAACGCAACACGTACACCCTACCCCTATGAGCACCTCCGAGAGACTGAGCCGGCATATCATCTTGAGATTTACGAAGTCACTGTAAGCGCCTCGTCGTCGACGGGAACGTCTCCTCCCACTGAAAGCGCATCGCCGGAAATCCTGAAATAAATCCAGGAATAATGCGAGCATCAGGATTTGAACCTGGTGGGTTGGGGATACCACTGTCCACCTAACCAACTCAACCACAGGTTGATTCGCCCAACATGTATTTGTTGATGCGTTGATTACCCACACCTAAACTAGTCATCAATGCTCTAGAAAATTTGGGGCCCTGTCAATTTGGGGGCCCTGTGCAGTCGAACACTCTGCGCAGGTGCGCCGTACGGGCCTGCTCCGTTACGTCGAGCTCTAGAATCGTGCAACTGGAACGGTTTTGCTACAAGGAATCAAGGATGCGATCTATTTCCCGTGAGCTGAACCCACGCCCAAGTCAGTTACAGCCCACGATTCATATAAGTCACATGGGCCCTTAGAGATTTTTCTGAAATTGTTAGATGGGCCCTAGGCCCACCCTAATATTTCAACAGTTATTTACTGAATATTGTCTTCATTCCATGTATATTTTTGGGTTGGTGTATAAATATCTTTTGCATGAAAGTTTGTGGTGTGGTCGTACGTGTAACTATTAATGAATCTGAAAAGTTTCAGCCGGTTTGGACCAGCGAGTTGCTAGAAAGTGCCTTTTTTAGTTGGCAATTTCAATTTTTTGCTTCAAACTTCAACATTTTAAAAAATGAGCTCTTTTACGGTGATTGACGAGTTACGACTCGTAATTTCGTGTAACTCCGTCCCCGATTTTTTCTAACCGTCGGATCAAAGAAATCATTTAATGGTTTTTTTATGTGTGAAAAGGGTAGAGTAGTAAATTAGCAGGTCAATCCAGTCACTAGTCAATCCCTCGCACAGCCTTCGTCGTTGTCAGTTTATTAACCTCCTCAATCCCCTCGCACAGCCGCCGCCGCGGACCCTCCCCTCGACCGTGGCGACGACGGCGTCCCTCCTGTCGATCGTGCCGCCGCTGCCTCAGACCGTCACACAGCCGCAGGCGCATACTTTTTCTCGCCCCTCCCCTAATCCAGTTCCCGTCCAAAGCCGCCGCCGCAAACAAGGGATCCCGCAGGACCTCGCCGCCGCCGCAATCAAGTGATCCCGCCGGACCTCGACGCCGCCGCAATCAAGTGATCC